GATTACCGTCTGTACGAATTGTTAGCACTGCAGTCATCCGTCCCGCATGCTTCAACGTGTTGGTCATCCCTTCGTCCACGCCCTGCCCAAATTCGCGCGGGGGGCATATCAAAGTTGATGGCGGTTTCATCAACGCTGAGAATTTCGGACGGCTGATACGCAGCAAAGTCTCTCCAGAAGTCGTTACCAAACTCAACGCGAGTTTGCTCGAGGTCTTCCGTGCTCTTCTTTGCCGTTTGGGGCTTCTGAGATGTAAAGCCATGGCTAAAAAATAATATATTGTTAATCCAGAAATTTATTTGATTAAAAATTTAAAGAAATACAATTTAACGGGTAGCGAGACATTCGCACATACGTTGCAGCGCCAGTAGTCCGCTACGCTTGTCGACAGCCAGCTCTCTTCGGGGCTGAGCCCCGTTGTCCTCTACCTCCTCGAGGCACAACAGAACTCAGTTCTTCCCCAGTAGGCCACCCCGCGCCTACTGGGAGTTGCCGTTTCCCGGCGATGACCCGGAGGGTTGGCTCGCCGGAGCCTGGCGCTTGAAGCGCAGAGGACAGCTCGCCCTCAGATGCTTGGTGCTTTTGCAAATAAAGCATCGGCGGATGCCGTGTGCTCATTTAGTCAAACCGGTTCATATTGACCTCGATTTAGTAAAGTGAGTGGCTGAGGTGGCATTGTATGACCTGGGAGAGGGGTACAGATGATAGATATCACCCAGCCTCGCTATATTCGACATGTTATTCATTTTTATATTGACGACATAATTCCATCGCAAACCCCCACGAAGAAGCGGTGCGAGCTTAGTAACAACGAGAGAGAAGACGCGGTCCTGGAGCTGTTGAAACGGTCGATTGAAGGCGTTCCTCGCACCGGGCGCCATGAAGGAGGTTGCGGCTAAGTTCGGTGTCGACCGCAAGACGTTGTCAAGGTTGTGGAAGTGAGCCAAGGAGGAACAAGACAGGACAGGCGTCCTACGCTCTCCTTCCCACCGCCACCAGCGCGGCCGCCCTAAGAAGGATCTCTCCGCCAAGTTAGAGGCTACGTAACACCCCGTTGGCACAACGAAGCACCCTGAGATCAGCATCTGCAGTCTCTGGTGTGGCACGAACCACGCTACATCGTCGCATACAAAGCGGTCAACT